AAAAGCCCACAAGGAAGAGAAGGTGGATGGAAAGCGACTCGGGTGTGGTGGCACACATCTGTGACCCTGGCACTTGGAAAGTCGAGGTTGGAGGATCATGAGTTCAAGGCCATCCTAAACTACACAGTGAGCTGGAGGCCAACCCGAGCTGCAGGGAACTCTGACGAAGCTGTGTACAGCAGCTGAACACCTAGTGTCTTGGTGCTGGAGAGGCAGACACAGGGGGACTGCCGGAAGTCTGAGCTGACTCGATCCACATGGCAAGTTTTAGGCCACTCAGGGCTGTATAGAAAGACCCCACTGCAAAAACCTGAAACGAGGGCTGGAGAGGGGTTCAGCAGGCTACGAGCACTCCCCCTACTTTTCCAGAGGATCAGAGTTCGGTTCCCAGCAGCCACACTCAACATCTCACATCTACCTGCAACCCCAGCTCGTGGGGATCTGACACCCTCTTCTGGCTTCCAGAGGAACCCCATATATGTATATTGCCTCCCCAAATAAACCTTAAAAAACAAAGTAAGACTAAAAGCAGGGTGTAGTCTTTAATCCTAGCACTTGGGAGACAGAGGCAGGTGTTGGATAATCTTTTTGTTCACTGTGAAGACATGTCACTCTGGTTGGTTTTAAAAAAAGCTGGGGGCTGGAGAGATGGCTCCGTGGTTAAGAACACTGTCTGTTCTTCCAGAGGTCCTGAGTTCAACTCCCAGCAACCACATGGTGGCTCACGATCATCTCTAGTGGGATCTGATGCCCTCTTCTGGCATAAAGTTGTACATGCAGATAAAGCACTCACATACATAAATAAATAATAAAAATCTTAAAAAAATAATAATAATAAAAAAAGGCTGAACAGTCAATAGCTAGGCAGGGTTTCTGGGCAGATTGGATGCTGGGAAGAAGAAAGGCAGAGTCACCAGCCAGATGAGAGATAACCAGGATGGGCATAATGGAGATGAGGTAATGAGCACATGGAAGAATGCAGACTAAAAAATATGGGTTAATGTAATTATAAGAGCTAGTTAGAAACAGGTCTGAGCTAAGGCCAAGATTTCATAATTAATACTAAATCTCCATGTCATTATTGGGGAGCAGACAGTCCTGACGAAAAATCCGCCTACAGGCAGGTGGGTCTCTGTGTGTGGGTCTCTACACAGAATATTCCAGGCCAGCCAGGGCTGTATAGTGAGACCCTGTCTTACCCCCCCAAAAAAT